TGGTACGTTGAAATAATAAATTTTAAACTGCAGACGACTCATAAGCAGAGTTGGGAATATAAATTACTATCTGTTTACAGTAAAAAGTCCAAAATGTGACATCTTTTTCAGAGGAGTTTTTAAAGATGTTTACACAGCTCTAGTTACGATTTTTTGACGGAGAATTTAAAATTGTATTATAATATTTCTTAAAAATATAATAATACCGAAAACTAGTGAGGTGAGTAAACAAAAATTTAAATTCCCAACTCTGCTTGTTTAATATTTATTATTTCTACTTACCTTTGTTATTTCAATTACATGCTTTATTTTGTCATTGATGGTATGGTCTCAATAATTATTTGGATAAAAAAATAATTTTTACAATACAAAATATTTATTTTTTAATATTGCGAAAGAAACCATATGTTAATTACTAAAAATCTCGTGAAATGAAAGAATTTTTTCTTTGACTTCTATCAGTACACAAATTTTTTTTATTTTAAAGAAATTTACTCTCGAGAATTTTAGATTGCTCATTATACGAATCTGATATCAGTTTTGAAAATATATAAAAATTTTAAATCACAAATTTTAAAATGACAAAAATGTATGGTAGAATGCATGCTCAATGGTGTATTAAGGCCAACGCACAATAGATTCATGAAAGTCGTTGGCGATCGAGTTGAATGAGATAGAATGGATAAAAATATATCTCTATCCTTATTTAACTTATGCTTCACGTTCACGAACCTATTGTGCGTTGGCCTTTATCCCTCACGCAAAAAGGATTATGATGTGAAAAATCTCCTCCAAAAAGTCACATTTCAGACGTTTTACTTTAAATTATGTATTCACAAAGTAATTTTCGTTCCGAACTCTGGTTTATCCTCAAAATTTTTAAAGTACTGCGAATTGTAAATTCACCTTTAATTTGTTGTAACATTCATTAGAAATTGAAAATTTCTAAAATATTTCAATAAAATATTTATGCAACGAACGCTGAAATATTTCTTAAATGCGGACATTTCCCTGATTTTAGCAATATTTTAAGTACTTCGTATTTCAGCGATAAATTGCAATATACCACTTGTGGTTGCGCGTTGTAGGGACATATCGCGTTGTGTTCAGTGCATAATTATCAAAGTAAAATATTAAAATTCGAAGAATTGTTCTTAAAAATGACCTAGTCGTGCTTTCATTATGTGAAATGTTTTTATTAAAGAATTTTTCAAGTATACATGGTTTAAAGTCATTTTACAAAATCTAACCTTACTTTCTGTTATTACATTGTGGAGAGTTTTTTTTATGTTTTTTTAACATCAAAGTGAAGTTGTTTCTTAATTTTATATATTTTAAATTGAAGAAAATAATTCATTAAATGTTCATTGTTCATCATTCATGTTCTGATGTGAATAATTTATTAGGAATAAATATACTGAAATACCTGAACTATACAGGGTGTTCCAAAAGTATGGAAACTTGAAAATATCTCGAAAAGTACGAATTTCTGTAAAAAATGTTCAAGACAAGAGTTGTTCCAAACAAAAAGATGTACATCTTTGAAACCAAAAAATTGAGCCCGGAGCCCAATGTTGGGCACTACAATGAAAAAAGTGGTTTTCTTAAATGAGACCACTAATTTTCAGTATCAAATTCGTAATCCCCATGAAATTCTGCGTTCAGACATGTGGTATAAGTGCCCAAAATATTGGGCCCAATCCAAGATATTGGGTCCATAATTTATCAACAGATAAATAAATTTTAAAAAATCACATCTTGGAGGGATTTTGAGATCACAGGATTAGAAATTGGAAGCTAATTTTCAAATTGGGCATAGAGCCCAATGTAAGATTCTGCAGCCCAATGTGAGGGCCCAATATTTTTGGAATTTGTACCACAAGTCTAAGCCCAGAATTTCAGAACGATTACGAAATGGAAGGAAACTAATTTTTTTACTGTAGGTCTCACATTGGGCTGCGGAATCTTACATTGGGCTCTATGCCCAATTTGAAAAGTAGCTTCCAATTTCTAATCCTGTGATCTCAAAATCCCTCCAAGATGTGATTTTTTAAAATTTATTTATCTGTTGATAAATTTTTGACCCAATATCTTGGAGTGGGCCCAATATTTTGGGCACTTATACCACATGTCTGAACGCAGAATTTCATGGGGATTACGAATTTGATACTGAAAATTAGTGGTCTCATTTAAGAAAACCACTTTTTTCATTGTAGTGCCCAACATTGGGCTCCGGGCTCAATTTTTTGGTTTCAAAGATGTACATCTTTTTGTTTGGAACAACTCTTGTCTTGAACATTTTTTACAGAAATTCGTACTTTTCGAGATATTTGCAAGTTTCCATACTTTTGGAACACCCTGTATAACTATATTTATTGTGACTTATTTTGAACAGGTTAATTATACTTATTTTTGTGGGTAGCATTTACCAAGCTTTTACTACCAGAGAGTACCCATGAAAGTTAGTTGAAATAACTAATTTTTTTAGTGACCAAAACTTAAAATTTATAAGTAAATTTTACCAACTAAGATTTGTAATCATTCTAACAACAAAACCCTGTGCTTGGTAAAATTTTGATAAACGGGTACCAATTTTTTTTCGATGTGTAATATTTCATATCTTTCACGCTAACAAGGGACTGACCTGAGTCTGCTTTTTTGTCTATGCTCTATCGTGAAAAGTATAAAACTAAAATTTGATTTAAATATTTTCATACAAGAACATCAAGTTTCTAAATTACCAGAAAGTGATGAATAAACAATTGTTATACTGGACATTGAATGATTTACAGTGCAGGTCTTTATTCATCCATTGAAAAGGTTAAATTGCATCAATTCAAATTTGATAGGATAGAATTGGATGAGGCGACAGTAGTGAACAATTTATTGTTGATTTTTAATTGAAGTGACATGTTCAACAATACTAGAAAACATGCTCAAATAATGAATAAAGAAGTATCGCACAAAAAAATATTTTTGTTTAATAAAAATCTTTTTGTTCACGTTTTGCAATATGATAAATCCTTTTATAGAATCTATTGGAGCACCAAACAAGCAAAAAGAAATAAGCCCTCTTTAACTTATAAGCAAATTAGCAACTTTGCTAATCGTAATCTTTGTTTTTAAAAAGATTTTTATTTTTAATTCATTAGAATTAGACTTTATATAATATTTCTAAGTTTAAAATTGTTTTTCATTCCCTGTAGACAAAAATATCGGGATTCAAAGTCAGCAGATGTTTTCTACTGCACTAGCATCAATCGTACCGACAATTTCCGTCTTGTGTTGCGGTTACACCGATTTGGGAGCTCAGAGTTCCCAACATGGGGAATTGTTCACTCCAAGCAGAAGTTGCATAGCGTTTCTGTATTTCGTGCTTTTGACATTCCCGTTGGGACGTCTGCATGCCCAAGATTCTTTCAGTTATAGATATTTTATTTTTTAATAAAATCAAAACATCTAGCTCTTATCTTACTATTTTCAATTATTCCAAATAATTAGAATTTACTTTTTGATATTATTCTGCTTAATTTACATAATGTAGATTTCGATTTACCTACAATAACTTTGAACAGCACTATTTAGCTCTCTATTGATTTAATGATTCGAAGCGTCGCAAGCAAAAGCAGCAATTTTGGTATTGTGCGGTTGAGTAATATTTTTTATCTTGTTATATTGCATCCTACCTGAATATAAAAATATATTAAATATACGTGTTTTTTGTTGCACTAGTTTTATAAATCCACTTTTTATAGTTTTTTTATCACTATTATTATTTTAATGTTATTGTACAATTATTTTCTACACGTTATATATTTTCACAGCTACATATATATTTATATTATTTTTTGCTCAATAGAAATGTTATTTTGAACTCGTTTAATTCATTGTGAGTATTGACGAACGAATAAACTAGAGCAATATTAGTTTAACATTTAATCACTTTTATTCAACAATATTCATACATATGTATCCAACCAACGAGAGTTTGAAAGCTCATTACGATTGACACCAATAATTGGAGTCTCGATGGTAAATAAATGATTCTCTCATATTTGGACATCAATATCAGAAATAAAATTACGGTTCGAAGAAATTGAATATGATATAGTACCTATACGAATACGAAAATTTAATTTCCAATGTTGAAAATCGTACTCGCACAAATATTATAAATTAAAAATAATTGGAAACAAATGTCGTTATTTTTACGAGAACATTCCATTTGTTTTTTTATTCTCTTTTTTATTGCAATCAATTTTTTTATATAGAAATTCGGAATTTCAAAGTTATTTTTAATATCAACACATTCAATCATATATATAATATAAATAACGTTAATAAAGGAAAGATATATTAAATGAATTTAGATGATTAATAGGATGACATTACTGGAAAAGAGTGTTCCCTGTATATCTTACGGCGCTATTATATTACTAGGGTAACGTACAACGCAGTCGATATATTTTAAGAAAATGTGACTGTCAGGTCATCTGATTCCACATGAAAATATTCTCTCTAAGTTTTTTCGTATAAAAATACTTGATGAATTGAGCTGAAATTTTGTATTAAAATGTAAGGCATATATAAGAATTTCTCGTGACTTTATATTTTATGTTGTTAGAATATTTATTTTTCAAAAATTTTATATTTGAGAAAAGTGTACGTTGTGAACAACAACAATTATGACGAGGATTTGTATATTAAAAATAATGCAATTGAATCTAAAACATTTTTGGTACAACATACATTCACGTAATTACTGATTGCAGTTATGGAAATATAAAGGTTGGAATAGCTAAAAAATTGTGGAAGGAAAAAGAAGAACTAGAAAGAAACGAAAAGATGTAGAAAGATATGGATATGAATCTGTGTAAGGTTGGAACATTGTAAACCAAGTTCACTTCTGGGCCAATAGGCTGAAGTTAAATAAATATTATTACATTCACGTAATTACAATTACATATGAAGATATGTCTTTAATAAAATATTATAAATACCTTAATTATTGCATTCTTGTAATGTTCATTTTCGAAGACTTCTTTGTGAATCCAGAAGAACTCTATAACAATCAAAACAATAGTAATAATTTATTATTTTATTATTAACATGATTTCATGATCACTTTTTTAGTATCAACACGAAAAAAATAAATTTAGTGAATTTTACATAACTTTTTATGTACTTGCGCGGATATAAGGCCGTTTACAAAACGGAGTTCTACAAAATAGGGTGAATATTTCGAGGCGCATGAATATTTGATAAAAATATCATTTGACATAAAACTTTGTTTCCATAAATCTCCCTTGACATAAAACTCACTTAATATAAAAATCATTTAACATATTTTTTGATTCACATAATACAAAAGTCTTACTTGACATAAACCTTAATTGGCAAAAGTTTTATTTGACATAATTTCATTGACATAAAAGATTCAATTGGTATAAATTCCAGATATAAATTTTAATTAAAAATAAGTCTTATTTGATATAAAACTTACATTGTCGACGTTTGACCTGTACAAACCTGTGCGTAGCAAGCAAGCGCCGACAATGTGAGATTTATGGCAAGTGAGAATTATATCAAAATTTATGTCAAGTGGGTTAAAGTGAAAATTGTGGCAAGTAGTGCGGCAAATTCTGTCAAATGCGTTTTGTGTCAAATATAATATAAGGCATAAAAAGTTATGTTAATTATGTTAATCGAAATTTATATCAAATAAGTTTTATAAGCCATATAAGTTTCCTAATGAGATTTATTACACAAATGAATTTTATATCATAATAAGATTATTACTTTAACGGAAATTTATGTCACAAAATTTTATGTCATATGCTTGTATGTCAAGTGGGATTTGGAGAATATTTATGCACCTCAATATTACAGGATAGATTCTAGAAGTGTTTACTCTCTAAATCTGAATCAGCAAAATTTATCTGATTCATCAGCATATATATACGCTTTTTGGAATCAGTGGTTATCGCTGATTTAGACTTGGGGACTATAGCATTTGAAAACTATTTCACATTTAAGATTAATACTCCGAGATATTGAAAATTTCCCAAGTTTATACTTGAAAAAAATCTATATCTGATAAAAGTTACAGATATTAATCTACTGAGAAATAAAAGGAATTCGAAAGTGAATAATAGTTTTTGAAATTAAAATAAACTCCTTCTGAGTATTTTTAACTGAAAAAGCGATGTAATGATTACAGAAACTTTTAATCGTAAAATATTTGTATGATATACTTTTAACATAACAATTTAGTGAACGTACATATTGAAAATCTGTGAATTTTACAGATTCTATGTATAAGTAAAGCGTATGAAAAAACGCAGGCTATGAATGTCCCATCAGACAATTCATTGTTTTTTGAAAATATGACGTTTTTTATGTTGGGACATTACAGTACGATAAATCAATTTCTAAAATAAATTCAAAATTTTCTAATTACATATTATCATTTAGTGATAGAATTTTTGCGATCACACTAATTTAAAAGTATCAAATTGATACCAAAAATATCATATTGATATAAAAATTTGTATCAATTTGATATTTTTGGTATCAATTTGATACTTTTAAATTAATGTGATTTCAATCAATGAAGTACTGCTAATTACCAGTAAAATGTCATTGATGGAAATCCAGAGAAATTGATCAGTAAATGAAGTCTGTGAATTTTTGAATGATTCACACTTGATGAGTGTAGCATGGAGTAGCGGGCAATTATAAGGGTAGTAAAATGAGGCACAGAAGAAAACTTACAGAGTGAAGTTATAGAAGTATAGACAAAAGGCTACCTTTTTCCATGTGTACACCCTCGAGGTGCCTCACAAAGACGAGCTCCAGTTATTACTTAAATATTTCATATTATATCTGTATAAACATAGGTGCTTTCTTTCTTTTTTTATCAATTAAACTGTAAGAAAAAAAAGGTTGACTTTAACATATTTAATTTCTTAGAGCTTCTTCCAATAAATTGTAGACAGTCTAATTTTGAACGTCTTATCCGCAAGCCAATAGTAATATGAAAATTTTTGATAAGAAATAACTGTCTGAATCAATTCACTAGATGGCACTTGAGAGTCTAACGAATTGGATATTTCAGCCAAGCAATTTTCTGCGTATATATAAATGAATATGTACAATTTATATTATAGGTCACGCTGAGCTTTTAATTAAACAGTATACACTTGGTTTGTACGATTCAAAAACAGTATTGATTTTCAGCATTAATGAGTTTGTGTTAAAATCCTGATATTTCAAAGAATTAAAAAATATAAAATCTCAATTCCTATTAGTATATAATAAAAGCTTGCAGAAAATAATAGTGATAATATTACTTTTCATTTGAAATTAAAAAAATTTACAAACAATATATTACAAATTTTTAAAGTAATGAATATTAACATTCAATCAAATTGTAATATTATATATTAATGACAAAGTTTACATATTGGAGATAATATTTACATACTATATATGCATATTGACTGGGTTTCTTGTTGGCCAATGGTGAATAATATTGTAATTTCTGATTGAAATATAAAATGAAATAAATTTCGAATGAATAAAAATTAGTATATATAAGAATATTTTATTATTTCTTTTTATAACACTACACTGTGAGTTTCTCTACTTTAAATTTATATAATTAGAGCAACACAGTTATTTTATTAAAGAAATGTTAACCCCAATTTTGTTTGAGAAATCCCTTAGTCTCTTTCAAGTACTTGAAATTTATATAGTGGAAGGCATTATCAAGTCCTTGAGATTGCTTTGAAACTAGTATTTCGTAACCTCAATAGGGCTTCCAGAATTCGTAAAAGGGGATTTGGACCTCAAGCTTTCAAGCTCAGTGAAACAGCCGACAATTAATGCAAGAATCGACGGATAATGCAAAACCCCGTAGGAAATTTAGAAAATATATAGAATTCAATTAAACTAAATTTCTTTTAAATTGTTAACTGTACAGAAAGAGTATATGATATAATTATTATGCGACTATATGTTTTTTCAGCATTTTCATCGCAAGTTCATCTTCATTCTGATGATAGCATAAATTTTATAAATGAAAAAACTACTAGACTTTTGGTAACTACAATAAATCTTTTTGAACCATATAGTAAATTCAACTACACACAAATTTCATACTTCCACCATTTGTGAACAAAAATGACGATTGGATTTAAAAACATACCATTTTATGTCCTCTTTCGAGACCTGAAATTTAAAAAAATTCATGTCTAGTTTTATGGGGTTTGAGATATTCGCATGAAAATTTAATGTGAATACATACATGGAACGACATTTTTAAAAAATATTCTTTCCACTAGTTATTTCATCTAAATTTTTTAACATACTCTGCTATTTTCCTTCTTTAATAATATTTCACTGAGATATAAAAGAAAATATTTTGAAAATTTATTATATGATATCTAAATTTTTAAGTATAAAACTCGCCTTACAAGATATCTCATTTAAAATGAGAAAAGTTTTTCATGCCTGATTATGAACAAGTGAAAGAAATTGCTATTTGATGCAAGAAGAAACCACAAACTGAATTAAATGAAAGTAGAAACGACATCTACAGAATCGTCTTTTGAAAGTGACAAAAAGTTCTGAAAGTTGGTTCAAAGCGATAAAAGCTTTTGGTTGAATCACGGGAAAGCTCAACGTGTCGAACCACAGCACTCAAACCTAGTCATTCGTCTCGCTTCACCTTTTAATGTCGAATACATATACATACATACATACGTGAGCGAGCATATGTAAAATCTGTCTCTCGGCATTTTTTCAATTACACACCTAAGAGTATAGGATATATCTTTTATCACCATACTCTTTTTATTTATTATACTTATTCTCGTTTTGCACAGAAATAAATCTACTCTACACTGTGGGGAAAAAAATCTTACTAGAATTCTATACTTTTTACACCCAGAGAAATTTTTTATATTCGAATATAATTTATTTGAATTTAATAAAAATATATGTTTGTTTAACAATTAAAAAGTACAGTAAAATCTACTAAAAAATAACAATTAACTCTGTATGCAAATTTGTTCGCATATGAAAAAAGAGACCAAAAAATATATTTTTTCGCCATTGACATGAAAAAGTGTCTTTTTTGTGCCTGTTTTGGGCAGATAAAGTAGCACTTTTTAAGGCAGTTTGGGCCAACTGCCTAAAAAAGACTTTTTTAGGCAGCAAACTGCCGTATAAAGTCTTTTTTAGGCAGTAAACTGCCCTATAAAGTCTTTTTTAGGCAGTTGTTAATTTTTGCATAATTTTTTTTTTTGCTTTTATTTTATTTATCAATTTTTATTATTTTTTTTCTTTAAAATTGTTTCACTTTTTCATAACAATGGCGAAAAAAATAGCGTATGTGGCTCGCACGTAGTAATTTTTAGGTTCGGATGATTTCAATACTCGCTGTCTGTGCGACTTCGGTTCGACTCGGCTCGCTTTCGGCTCGACTCGACTCGCCTTCGGCTCGTCTTCATCTCACCTACAGCTCGCCTTCGTCTCACCTACGTCGCACTAACGACAGCTCGTACTGAAAATTACATCCTCACCTAAAAAGTACTACTTTACGTGCTTGCCACATAATATACTATTTTTATTTAATTTTAATAGAAAAAAAAGTTCAAAAAAAAATTCAAAGGCAGATTATCAAAATTCAAAATGGCGGAATTTTTTGCATCAGATTTGCTTAAACCTCGTTCCTAATATCAGAGATTTTTGGGAGGGCAAAATTTATTTGAAAATTGATTAGTTGTTTTGAAACTTGTTAGTCGGAGGTTTTTGGAGTCACTGATTACGAATTTCACATCATATTCATAATCAAAGAACTGAAAAACTCTCCGAATGACAAATTTTGAACAAGTCTGATAAATTTTAATTTTTTAATTTTTAAAGTCCATATGAACTCCAAAAAAAGTTCGCAATATTGAATCCAACATTTTGAATGTTGAAAATCTAACTTAAGATTTGAAATTTTTTATTATTTGCAACTGATATTTTGCAACAAATTTTTAACTATTGTCGAAT